AAAGAGAAAGGAAAACTTGAAATCGCATCCTATGACCCCTTTAAATTCTGGCGGTTTTTACAACCTTCGGCTTTGCAGGATTGTGGCATCTTCGAATATTCATTGATTATTATGGTGAATGACATCAAGCTGACCATTGCAAGATGGCGGATGCGTCTACGTGCTTGGAGCTTTCGAAAGAGGCATCTACCTATACATATCTATGGTATTACCATTCATAATGCATAACATGCTCATTAGAAATGTTGATAAAACAATTTGATCTTAGTATATTTAGCGATTAAAGTGTTGTATTTGATTTATTTACTGACAGGATAAACAGTGACATTTTACCAGAACATATCAGTCCCACATTGTTGTCTTGAGAGCACTTTATGTCATTTGATGTTGGACACAATCGAATGGTTGCTTCATCCTCTCTGCACTGAATCTTTTGTGTCCACGTCTGAGCGTCTCCTTTGCCAAAAGCAGCTGCTCCCAGCACCTGTACAGGAGCCCCACAGTCCAGCTCTCTACACACAACCTCTGCATCCTGCTGGTCAAAGGCAGCGGCACACACTGTGTACCATGTGTTCCCATAAAGCACCTCTAACCTCCCAGAGCACAGGTGAGGTCCATCAGCAAGTCTTGTAAATCGTGCATAGTTTATGGTTTCTACATATTTGCATAATACATAAAACCAATTTAATTAGAGTCATGGTGAGTGAAGCTGTCTTACTGTGACTGTGTTACAAACAAACAACGACTGTGAGTGATTAAGTCTATCCTTCAACTGAATATTGTAAATAAAAACATGGGTCATTTCAGCATTACAATTTCACAATTACTCCGGTTCATTGTTTAAAACTAGCTCAGAAATAAATTGTATAAAATTATTGTATATTGCATATTGTGTTAAGAGAAGAAAGGTTGATAAGTGTTTAAACAATGAGCTGCATGAAATCACTTACTTGAGCATCTGACTCCAGCATCATAATTATGACGACCACAGCTGTTACTATGTTTACCCCATCCTTTTGATCCACAGTCCTTCAGTGTAGACTCTGATCCTTTACACTTCACGCTATCCATCCAGATTTTTCCTGATCCTGGTCCAAAGTAAGAATATCCTGGTGCTTGTAAAGCCCTCCACAGTTCAGCTCTCTACACACCACTGCAGCATCAGTCATATCCCAGGAAAAATGACACACTGTTCCCCACTGACCATCATGAAGAACTTCTACTCTACCAGCACAGCGACTGTCACCATTCACCAGTCTCACATTCACACGGTCTGTCCATGAGGGATACGTCATAAAATGAGCATACAACAATAAAATATTAACCATACAGAAGTTATAAGAATAACATGCAACTGCATAATCACATGTAAATCAATACAATATAGAATGTGTAAAAAATATATATATTGAATTTCATCTGTCCCTGAGTATACTTACTAGCAGTGATAAGTGTAACCACCGAAGACAATAAAATAAGTGTCAGACAGCTTTCCATCCCTTCGTTTGCCCAAAAAACGAATTAATTTAGCACCAAAGTTTCTCCGCTGCTCCCTCAAACACACTGAAGAAACTGGCTCCTGTCAGCCCCCTAAAGAGAGAGAGAGACTCACAGCTGCCAATGACACTCACTGTTACCTTATTAGACAGAACAGAGGAAATCATCAAACACAATCAGTGACAAATCAGAAAGAAGCATTTTTATTTTCTCCATATATATCAATAAAGTGTGAGCGCTGATGAGCAGGACTCCTCCTCCAGCGTGAAGAGACACTTCACTGAGGACAGACTTGTGTCAGTCATAAGTCAGTGTGGAGATAAAATCACACTAAACTTAAAGCAGATTGATACAGAAACACTGCAGTTTATATTCAGCATCAAACCTGAACTTGAACACGGCAGATACAAGCACTGATGACTGACTTCTGTAAGTCTGAACACTTCAAACACTTACACAAACTTACTAGAACCAATTTCTCATGACTAATCTTAATTCATTTAACATTTTAATCTCACTGTTTCTAGATAAATTAAGCATAATATTACTGTAAGTGAATTTTATTAATGTGTTCCTTTATTCTAACAAAGGAAACCATAAAATAGGATTAAACCATAGTATAAACTATATAGTCGCTAAAGTGATTGTTTAGTTTTTTTTTTGTTTGTTTGTTTTTTAGTTTTTATTGAATTAAATATGATCTACTTTCAATAGGTATACCTTGGAGAATAATAAAATAATAGCAATATTTGTCCAGCAGATGGCAGTAAAACACTTATTGTAAAGACTAGCAGACAAGAGTCGTATTTATTTATTTATACATTTATGTATTATTTATACAAGTATTTATGTCCCATTTAAATAAATGTGAACATATACAAATATTGATGTAAATACATATATAAATAAAAGTATATAAATAAATAAGTGTATAAATAAATTAAAAAAGTACAATATACATACACTATACTTATATAAGGAAATATAGAAATACTTAATAATATTTGCTGTTTTACAATTATTTGTAGATTCATTTATGGATTTATTTATTACTTTTTTAATGTTGTATTTATTTATTTGATCAGTTTCCAGGTCACGGGCTAAAGAACTGAGGAGCGATGAAACAAGAAAGCATCAGTTTGAGTATTGAGAAGCACATTATCTGAACCAGTTGTTTGATAACGACGATAATTTATTTAGTCACTCAGTTTTTGTTTTGAAATACCAATTTACAATATCCAGGAAATAATTTAATATAGTTTTAGAAGTGGTCTGAATAAATAATGTGTAATGATGACACTTAAAAACTTTAATAGTCATTGGATTTAAGATAAACAATGAAAAGTGAAATAGTCTAATTATTCAGATGAACTATTATTAGATTCAGAACCATAAATAGCTGCACTACATATTTCATCCACAAGATGGAAGTAATGCACACATAAATGTGTTGTTCTGATTTATTTATTTATTTGTTATTTATTATATTTTTACTTTTCAGTATTTTTTTTAATGAAAAAACCAGTTACGTGACTAGAGAATTAGCTTTGGTTTATTTGGTCATTTAAAAAAAAAATACAATATACAAATATTTTATAAAAAAAATTAGGCCATAACCCAATACAACAAAAATGCAATAAAAGCAACGAGAAAAGTTTCATTACAAAAAAGGTTTCAAATAACATAAAAGCTAAATATTTCATATAGAAATATTACTCAAACAATTGAGCTTTCAAATTTCTTGATCCAAGGCAGTGCATGTGATTATTGAGTCATACAGACCCTTCCCCTTTGTTTGAGTGCTCCCCCACATCATCATAATCTGCTATTAAAAAAACAAAATCTTTAATTATGGTGAATGTTGTGTTTATATGAATATTTAAAATTGAGTATATAAATTTGGAAAAAAATATACAATGAAATATAAAAAAGAATTCAGGATATAATGATAACAAAATGGTTACTAAAACTTGCGTAACATATTTCTCACATCTTCACTCACACTCATCACATCATCATACTCCTCATCGACTCCTTATCACAAGAATGACAAAGTGTAATATCTTTTATCTTATTTGATGAATCTATTTTCCTATAAGAGACTTGATTAAACAGAACTCATGTCTAATACTGTAAACATGGAAACAGTGAAGGCTGCGTCTGAAAGCTTGACTTGTTGACTCGCTGCTCTATCAGGCAATGACTTTGCAGGCAGTGTTTGTATCGAGGCTTGCATCGCTTTAGAGCAATGACGTCATTGATGATGTCCGAAGCCTCGCTTTGCTTGGTCAGACTGGTTCAGGAAGCGGTTCGAATCTTGTAAATTCACGGTCC